ATGGCGACACTGCTAACTGAATTACTTTTTTATGTCTTTACTCCCTAGACTTTGCTCTAGCCAGACCCTATGAACATATGTGTACCGCACTTCCTGATTCTAGACATTTATTATCCGAAATGTATAAATTGGTGTTGAGTGAGTATTCCATATCAACTCCATATTTTGTGAAGGAATGGGAGAAAGAACTGGGCCTTGATTTTTTTTTTTTTTTTCTTTTTCCCCCTCAGCAGATACATAGGATTCTTAAAAATAACACACTCCTCCTCCATCAGCTCCCATGTTCAAGAATCCTCTTATAAATTTTCTTACTAGATGGTATCGGACCCCGTCCCGCTTAGCTCAAATTTTTCCCACCGCTAACCCCCTCTGTTGGAGAGGTTGTGGTCATCATGGTACCTTTCTTCATCTCTGGTGGACCTGCCCTAAAATTGCACCCTTCTGGGCTGCAATTTTCCCATGGATACAGAAATTGTCATTGAGCTCTCTGGAGCAATCCCCCCTCTGTTTACTCTTTCATGTGACTTCAACCTCTATGAAGGCCTACAGACGTAGTGTTACACCCCACCTTCTGAATGCGGACAGATCTTTGGTCCCTAGGTTCTGGAAACAGTCTGAATGCCCTACATTATCGGATTGGAAACAGAAAGTGGATAAAATAATGGATGTCAAGCATTGGGTCCACCTGGTTAGAGGTCAGGGGGAGAAATTTAAAGATATTTGGGCAAGGATGGATGTTTTATTCCTCTGAAATGCCAGATGCATGAGCCTTTTTGGGTAGCTTCTCTGTTTAATGCTCGCAATTTGAGCCGGGTACACATGGGTTTTTTCCTACTGCTAATTGGCCCTTACTTCTTCTGCGGACTGCTTTATTGGATGTTTCTGTAAATCTAGTGCTATGCAGGGGGGAAGGGGTTTTCTTTCCCTTTTTTTTTCTTCCCTCCTCCCTCTTTTTTTCCTCTGTTTCTTTCCTCTTATGTTTTGTTAGAATTCCAGTAATTCAAAGTGTTATGGATATTCAGTTTATGTGCAGCTATGGTCAAGATGTTTGTTTACCTCTGTTGTCATGTGGGGGTTTCCTTTGTATCTATTACTTCTTTGTCAGATTGAAATATATCTGCTGACTCTGCTGTTTTGCTTTATTTTACGTCACTGGAAAATGCTAATAAAGATTGATTATAGAAAAAAAAAACACTGAATACACATCCCTATTTAAATTGAAGAAAAAGAGGGGGAAAATGAACTGGAATGCATAAACAAAATGCAGTGGAACGCGTCAAAAAAACCAAAACTGCACCTGCAAAAAACGCATCCGGACTGCTTTTTTTTCCTCTGTTGTGAACTGGCCCTTACTCAAGATGGACATGACTAGAAATTGCTAGGGAGCAAACCTTGATGGATGGATTGAGTTTGCTTTGAATATAAAAAGGAAATAGCGTTTTCAGTTTGTGGTGCTCAGATACAGTTTTCCACTTTAAATGCAAGACAATCCCACCCATTCAGGCACTATTGGTTTCCTTTGGCCTCTATCTTATTGGCCTCCTCTACTAGTCTTCTCTTTGCACAGTCTCTCACTTTTGCTTGGTATCCTGCTCCGGGAATTGCAGCCAATCAATACTTTTCCATTTCTTACTGATTAATTTAACTGTACTCCAATGTAATTTCCCTTTATATATACACAATCTAATGTAAATTCAGTGATTTGGAAACATTGAAAAGCATGAGTCGGGGATGGATACAGCAATCTCCTTTTTTCATAGCTTGGAAGGCTGTTTGGTCTTTATGTTGTAAGTGTTGCCATGCTATCTAGATTCCTATAGTACAGGGGTAGGTGATCTTAAAGCGGTAAAGACCTACCTGAACAACATGGGAGAAGTCAAAGATCACCAGGAACAGTGTTGGCCAGTGTCACCTCCTCACACCTGATTTAAACCTCCAATTGCAGTACTATCATGTCACAATCACATGCATTGCACAGTAATCATGGGTTTAAATCAGGTGGTGAGGAGGCACCCACATATCACCTCCTCACCACTTGTCAAACACATTCAGATCGATTTGCAGAGGAGCACCAGTGCCTGCTGCACTTGTGAATGAGCCCTTATTTGCATCTGTTAGCGGCACTCTTGGGGCTCGTTCACACGTTAAGTTGGGGGGCTAAAACCCTGCAGTTGAGTCATGGTTTTACTGCCCCCAGCCCCTACCCCCTTAGCTGCTGAGGCAGCAGCCAAAGGTGTACACATGCCGCAGCAGAAATTACAGCCCGTTACGTTTGGTGGGTGCTACCGCCTGTCAAGCAAGACCCATTTAAGTAAATGGAGCCAGTCTGCAGGTGTTCCCCAACTTCATGCTTCTGCGGGGTCCAAGGGGTGAGGGGAGGCAAGTGGTGAGAAAGCAACACACCACTGCCTGTTTAACCCCTTTTCTGCTGCACTGCACAAGGTTGCAGGGCACTTGTAGAGCTGCCTCATTCACTTGAATGGGTCATGCTTGGCAGACATCAATTTATGTGGCTCATGCTCGCTACTACAGCTCCAACATTACAAGTAGTCTCTCTGCATTGCACATTGGTAGATTATTGGGTTTGCTAACCAGCAATCCGACAGCATAAAACAATCACCTGTCTGAGATCTACTGGTTGCTGAACCCAACTATAGTAGATATACATATATACTTTGATAAAGTATACTGTATATCTCAAAAACAGTACCAATAAATCAAACTGAATTTATTGGTACACTTTTTAACCAAACTTTTGATATCAATAAGAATAAAGATTATACCAGAGGTCGGCAAGCAGTTGATCATGATCGACTGGGCGACAAGTGGATTGTGACCACGGCTTTGCCTTCCCCCAGTCTCTGTCGCTCTCATGTCTCTGCAGAGCAGAAGGCAGCATAGTGCTGGATGGAGAGCGGGAGCTGCCTCAGTGATTGGTTGCTAGGCAGTCCTAGCAACCAATCACCAGCTTGTTATTATTATGAACTCTGGCAGCTCCCACTTTCCACCCAGCACTACGCTGTTTCTTGATGGCCTCTCTATTGTACACAGGCTGGCAGGTAGGAGAGTACCTATTACACCGCTATGAGTATGGGGGGGGGGGGGGGCAGAGGACACTACAATGGGGGGATGATGTAAAGGGGGCAGAGGACACTACTTTGGGAGGGTACAGGACAGTACATTAGGCGGAGGGGGAAGAGGACATTACAGTGATGGTGTGTGAAGTGAAGGGGAGGGGTGATTTAAAGGGGACAGAGGACACTGGTGTTAAGTACCCCCCAACACAATATGGGGGGGGCAGAGGACACTACAGTGGGGGGGGGGTTTAAGTGATGTGAAGGGGGCAGATGACTCAGTGTTAGGGAGTACAGGACACTACTACTGTGGGGGGAGAGAGGCAGAGGACACTACAGGGGGGGGGGGGGGGGGGGGGGGGGTTGGTGATGTGAAGGGGGCAGAGGACACAGCATTGTGGAGTACAGGGCACTACTATGGGGGGGAGGGAGACAGAGGACACTACAGTGGGGGGGTGATATGAAAGGGCAGAAGACACAGCATTGGGGGGTATTGGACACACTACTACAGGATTGGGGAGGGGGGTGATGTGAAGGAGGCAGAGGACACTACTGCGGGGATGTTGTGAAGGGGGCAGAGGACACAGCATTGGGGAGTACAGGACGCTGCTGCAGGGGAGGGAGGCAGAGGACACTAGAGTAGGGCAAGAACTATGCAAAGGGGACAGAGGACACAAACATTGAGGAATACAGGACACTACTGTGGGGGGAAGGGAGGCGGAGGACGCAGCATACTACTGTGGGCGGTGGAGGACAGAGGACACTGCGTTTGGGGGGTTGGGTTGTTAGTAGCAGAGGACACTACTGTGACACACTGTGTACCTCATACAACCTTTTTATTGGAAGCTCGATTGTGGGGGTTTTTTTGTTTGTTTTTTTTTTTTTTTTAAACCGCCGCCTAGTTCACCACACCACACCTCCCTTGGGAGCTTTGCTTTCCTCCATGTTGTCCAGGTAGATCTCAACCTCTGTATAATCCAGGGGTCGGCAACTTTTCAGTTTTATTAATATTACCATTTTTGTTTACATGTTGTTTCTTGGGGCCATCATATAGTAACCTTTTGGATATGCCACATGATCTGCTAAGTGATCTGTGAGAGTGACTACAGCAACTTGCATTTTAAGTGTTTTATGCTGGCTATGCAGTCAATACACTGGAACCGAGTCAGGAATTGTACCATTTCCTGGAAAACCTTAATATTCGAAACAAAAAAAATACAACACAAAGCGATACAATTTAAAGCACCTCAAATAAGAGATGCAGTCTGGAATGTTTTACTTAAAATAACACATGCATCATTTGTTACAAGCAATATAAACCGTACCGTCTAAACTTCAGTTCTTACAAAATGAATGGAATGTAGTCAAATATCTCTTATGAACACATGAAAAATATATTAATACAAAAGTTAACCTTCATATATTCTGACTGTGAAAGCCCGGAATTGTGAAAGGCCACAAATACTGCATGGCTGGTTGCCAAAGCCCAGGACACAGGCCACAAATCGTGTTTGGCTTAGTGGCAATGCCCAAGAGCTTAAGTTACAAATACTGCTAAAATAGTGCATGGTCACATATACACACTTCATTCAATGCATGAAAGCACCACTGCAGGTAGAGGTGGCACAACTGGGTATGGGAATATTGCAAGAAGCTGAAAATTAAAATACAGAAAAAAAAAAAAAAAAAAAAAACACGACATCCTACATACTTCACACAAAAAGAAAAATCTTTCAGTAGTACATATACCATCAACTTTTGTTATCAAAATTCCATATAAAAACCATTAAAAAAAAAAAAAAAAAAGTTAAAAACACAAAATATCATCCCATTTATTTGATAATTCACATACAAACTAGAGCACTGCACAAATATCTAAACAATCAATGCACAGGACGTGGTGGCTTTGCTCATCTGTAAGTATCCTTATGGTTTGTTTATTTGCCCTGTGAACAACACAGCACCTGAAAAAAGAAAAACATATATATACTACAATCAAATCAAGTTCCAATCATTTTACATCATTTACACTGTTGCTAGGCTCATATGTCAACCTTAAGATCACTTAGAGCTCTGCTTACCAACTCTAGGGCTATTTAATGAAAAACCCAATTACAGCTCTGTAAGGCAGGATCTGAAGGAGAAAGTAGATCTAGGACAGCAGGGGCCAAGGCCAGTGCAGTGCTATATGACACTTGAAGGCATGTTGGGATGTTAATAGATATAGCACCCTCTAGTGTGCAGTTGGTGTTGGGAAAATGTAATGGCTCACAGTAGTGTGGCGAGTCTGGGGAATCGTTTTGGGTTTACTCTAGGTCAGGCCTCTGGTACCTCCCCCTGGTTTTAGAAGATTCTAGAAGCTAGTGGGTGGAGGTAAATAGGGGTTGATCTACATTTTTATGGGAATCTGACCAATTCCCAGGCAGGAGGCCTGGCATGGTGATAAGACACCTGCCCATAAATATTGAAGAGCCTGGATAGTGAGTAGTTCGGTCTGTGGAAGTCTGGTTGGGTGGAAGATGGAGTGCTGAGGATTGTGAGGCCTGGGAGGGAACCCAGGGAAGGGTCTCTGCCTCCATGCTGGAGCTGAGGGAGGAAGAAGAATCCTCACTATCATGTAGTATTATGCCTAAGACCCCTTGCCAAGCATGGGAAGGCTAGCACAGTGAAAGGCCTGGACAGCAGTCTTAACCATAGCAGCAGGAACAAGGGACAGAGTAAGTACCTCTACACCCTGCGGGCCTACAAGGAAGAAGGCTGCCAGATGTAATATTCAGCATGCTCTCACTAGCACAGTGCCATTGCTAACCTAGATCTCTTGCTCTGGGATACTTCAAAAGGCAGTCAGGTGGGCTGGAATTTCCTGCTAACGCGTGCTTTGAGAATTACTCTCCTGGGAGCACTTTGCTCCTATGATTTAACACTGCTACAGATCCAAGAGTGACTAAAATCATTCTGAAGGGAGTGCAGTCCAGGATCCATTTTTGTGTACATAGTGAAGAAAGACTTCCTCAAGCTGTTCTACTAATTAAAGTTGGGCATCCCACATCCCCTTATCCCCATCCAAGTTGTTTTCCCTCAATAAAACAACAAAAACAAGCCCATGGACTCTGAAAGGAAAGTTGGCCTGGCTGTGCAGGAATAGGGGGACCCAAAAATCCAACGGCCCTCAAGGGGGTACCGCTACATAGAGATGTCACTGTACCAAAATTTTCTCTTTCCTTTCTTATATCCAGGCTACTCCCTCCCCAATGATTATCATTATATATTTCCCATTTTATATTATTTATGTTTCATATTTACTAATCATTGCAGTGCCATCACAGTTTCTAACCACTACAAATACACGCACTGAAATCATGATATATGGCCGTATATCAAGGAAGAAGAAATTAATATACTGTATATAATTTATAGCTCTATAAACTTGGTACTCATGTTATCAAAATCTATACATTAAATCGACAGAAAGTAATTGTGATGTATTTGTAGTTTTGTACTCTTCATTGTATTGTGTGTTTTTAGAAAAGGACAAAAAAAAAAAAGAAGAATTATAAAAAAGGAAGAGATGTCAGTGTAAAAGTGCCTGTAGAGGCACGTCAGTAAGTCCTGTTAAAGCAGCATTACATCCAGTCCAAAAAAATTCTAATAAATGGCCTCCTTGAAGGTTTAGGCAGACCGCTGAATTGAATGAGGGTTCAGCTAAGTGAAAGAGGGAGGGAGGTAAGGGAGGCCTAAATATTTTTTACCTTAATGAAAGGAATGCATCAAGGTAAAAAAATGTTTAGATTTTATACTACTCTAAGATACACGATGCCCAGTTTTGTAAACAGAATAAAAGACCTTACCTGTTGGGTTATGCCTGATGAAAAACAAAAACGGTCTGTCCACTATAAACCAGGGGGGAGATGATCTTGCTATTAAAATTGCAGCTGAAAGAGTAGAAAAATATTGACAGTTTCAAGTAATATCCCCAAAAGTTGTCATTTTAGACAAGGAACATATTAACTTTAATTTAAACTCTCTCTGTATGCCATTAGGTGGAAATAGCTGTGATAAATATGTTCCAAAAATAAAGCAACATCAAATACACATATGACATGAATATATGTCAATATATAAGTGGCTCCATATCGCTGCTACATAACTGATGCATATAATTCCTATTTAGACAGCTGTTATGTTAGTGAATAGTTTAAAAAGAGTAACAATCTTAGAGTACTTGACAAAGTCCAACTCCAGAAAAGTGATAGAAAGGGATAGAAAGGACTATCTTACTATCATTCTTGCCCTTCCCAGTCTGTTGGAGTCTCTGTCTCCACTACCCTAATCATTCTACTTCTGCCTGCCTGTCACCAGGACATGAAGTGAAGGGAGTTCAGTACAGGTGGGACAAACTGCCAAAACAAGAAAATTTCAGATTCCAATCATCTCCATCTTTATTCATATCAAAAATGTATGTATAGAGTGGGCTAAAATTCAAAATTGCTGTTAGAAGAGTCATTGAGCAATGACTCTGACTAAGATAAAAGCTAAACTCTGGTTGCTATGGATTACTACACAACACTAGGCTTATGATTCATAATAAATAATACCCAGTATCAGGGGTATTGAATTAAAATTCACTGCGTTCCAGCCAGTAAAATTTTCATCCAGCAGGAGGTCAAAAACTCATGGGAGGCACCTCTAGTGCATTTCCATTTGCGCTAAACCACATGTTGCCATGGTGCAATTTTGGTTTAAGAAAAAAAAAAAAAAAAAAAAAAAAAGGGGTCGTGAAATTTTCTCTGACCCTATTTCACTGATCCACCCACTATGTGAGCACCAAATGCACATGTACAGATCTGAACCTGTTCTTACATCAGTGTCCTCAATCCCCACTGCACACCACAGCCCCCTCCCCTTTCACAGCAAGATCCCCTCTTGTTGAGTGTCCTCAGGTCCCCCTTTACATCACCCCCTCCACAGTTGTGTTCTCACACTTCCTTGCCCTTCATCTTTGCAAACAATCACTTGCTTGTTAACCTGGGGCAGCTCCCGCCCTCCATCGAGAACTGTTCTACCTCCCGTTGTCAGCTCTGTGAGGATGACCACGTGATGGCTGAGTATAGAAAAGGCTCCTAAATGGCAGGACTGCACCAGTCCGCATCCAGACCCTGGTCTGTCATTTAGTGATGCCTGGTCTATACACTCAATGATGGCATTTAAAAATGGCTGATAAAGTTAAACCAAATATAAACCACACATTGCAAATCTGCTTTTCTTTTAAATTTAATCACATTATGATACTATAACGTATTACCTCTCTGTACAATAAATGTATTAAAAGGTCTTTAAACAAAAGTGACATGACTAACATAACTCGGCTGGTTGCCTATTGTTTTTATATGGTCACTGATAACTGCTAATCCTTTGTGTCTTTTAATCTAGGATAAGGAAATTCCTTCAAGGACAAATTTTGTCTTACCAGTGGCAGCAGAGGCCTTTGTACCATCTTCTTTAACCTCTATTTTAGCTTTCTGCAACATATGTGACACATAAACTTGTTCTGCTCCTAGAAGAAATACAAACATTGTTGGGAATACAACAGCATGTACTATAATGTACTATATACAGTATTCTGTATTAATATCACTTGACCAGTAGATGGCACTGTACGCTAAAGGTTACTAGTTGTGTATGTGTAAAACTTGCTGATACTTTTCTTCTTCTCTATCATCTCTTCAGGAAGAAATATGTCTGCTGTTATACAGTCTGCTGCAACGTGCTCTGTATGTTTGTAACTTAAGCCACACAAGTAAAGCCTGAATTCTGCTATCACTACCAGTGTCTTCTATAACACATAACCAACAGGTTATGGGCCCAGCTCCAGACACTGGAAAAAGGAAAACTACAAGCAAGTAAGTGCTGCATTTACAATCCAATTCACTGAAAGATGGCAAGTGCTTCAGATATGAAGTTTACAATAGCAAAGCTCAACAATACCAACTACCAGCTATGGAAGTTTAAGCTTGAAATGCTGTTATCCAAAGATGACTTGTGGCAGGTACTAGATACACACAGACCCAATGACAACCCGGAAGAATGGGACAGAAAAAACAGGCAAGCAAAAGCAGTCATAAGCCTGTTAGTGGAGGATGATCAACTCATTCATATAAGGAAAGAAAGCACAGCTAAAGGTATGTGGACTGCATTACAAAAGCTGCATGAACGTGCAAACCTAAACAGTAAACTATATCTGCTACGCAAACTGTATAAGAAGAGGCTGGAAAAAGGGCAGGAAATGGGTGAACATGTAAATGCCATGCTAGAAATTGTGAACCAGCTGGGTGCAATAGGTGAAGAATTAAAAAGCAACCATGTTGTGTCAATACTTCTGTGCAGCCTTCCAGAATCATACAGTGCCCTTATAAATGCTCTAGAAACTAGACCGGAAACTGAACTGACGCTAGAATATGTTAAGGGAAAATTAATTGATGAATACAGCAGAAGAAAGGAAAATTTGCATAGTGAAGAGAACGAGAGACCAGAGGCAGCTCAGAAGGTGCATGAAGGCAGAAGACAAAGCAAAGAAACCAGGGTATGTTTTCGCTGCAAAAAAGCCGGTCACCTGAAAAAGAAGCTGTTCAATCTGGAAAGCTGAGAGCAGCGAAAGCGGGAGCTACCCACAAGAGAAAGAGCTAAAGCAGTCATGAAAGAAAATGAAAGTGCATCATGGAGTGGTACTTTTAAAGTGACTCAGAATAGTACCTCATATGGATGGTACATTGATTCAGGTGCAACAAGTCACATGACAAGCGACGAGACATTCTTCACAGAAATTGATTTTAGTGTAAAAGATAAAGTCTTCCTAGCAAATGGGAAAAGTATTACAGCGGAAGGTAAAGGTCAGGGATTTCTGAACTGCAAAACGCCATCAGGGGGCAAGCAGAGCATGTATGAAAGATAGTTATTAAGAGGTTGTCAAATGAATTATCATGTCACCCAATATTTGGTCTCCATTCAGTAGCCAAAAGAGGCATTCAAAAAAGGGGGATTTGTGAAAAGAAATTCACAGAAAAAGCGGCTACATTATGAACAGAACGTGACACTCAGAAAAATTTCCAAAAATTATGCTTTATTACACATATATAAATATGACATATGGGCGTTCGCCCTGGTTTACCATCACCTCAGTATGAGACAATACACACACAGACCTAAAACCATATAAAATGACACCAAGACCGGTCTAAATGCATGTGCAACAGAAAAAAAATGACTGCAAGAGTCTAATATCCCTGTAGCACAGACACATAGGTGAACACTTCCCAAAAGAGGTGTATCCAAAAATTATACCATAGGCATACCATAATGTTGAATATTATATGTAGAACAATACCATTATGGTGAATCCCAATCAGGGAATCCAGAAATTGTACTATGAAAAAATATCACATGTATACAATGCAGCAAGCACAATAGGAGTCAAGAAGAGAACAACAAGCCTCAGGCCTGTATGGGGGGAGACATAAATGTCAAATATATAATGCAATACATTCCTGTGCCGGCACAAGTGGTTGGGGCCCATTCATCTGTAATATAAACAGCTGTATCCTAGAGCTCTTGAATGAAGAAATGCCCCATTTATTCCCAGGATGGAGGAAAAGATGCAAAAAGCAGCACTCTGCTTGAAGTGGTATCTTCACCACACTATATGTGGACTACACACCACCTTTCGTAGGGAAAACAGGATATATCCCAAAAGATCTTCTGCCCGTTGAGATATATGTGGTATATCCTGTATCCTATACAAAGCACCGTGATGTCCCCATCCTGTAGTGAGATAAATGATATGTGGGAAGTCACTGACAGAGTATACACTCAATAAGATATATAGGTCATATAGATCACAGAGGACCATATATCTAATGTCCTGTAACAGTCCACTCACCACCTGTGCTGTGGGTATTAGGAATGAAAGAGATGTCCTTCATGGGTACTGCCATACACGGCCACAGAGGCCTAGGAACCACCGCTGACATCCGCCGATATACCGCGGGTTCCAACCCCTTCTTGGCGCTTGTGCTGCTCACACTTGCCTCATGGCATATGAAGATGGCTTCCTCCTTATGGGTCAGCGTGCGTTCCACCTAATGCGCATGACCGGAAGTGACGTATCTGACGTATGACGTCAACGCGTTTCGCCGATGGGCGTATCTCACTCAGCTTCGTCAGGACCAAACAAGCAGAGCATCCTTGTAAAGAATGTTCTATATGTTCCAAGCCTAGAAGGAAGCCTCCTATCAGTTAAAACCCTTGCAAGCAATGGACTCACTGTCCAGTTCAGAGGTAATGAATGCACAATTCAAAATGGAAAGCAAATTTTAGCAAGAGGAAGATTAAATGAACATCTGTACAAACTCATCACTGAAAGTGAGAAGGCCAATGCGGCAACTCATAGCCCACATGACAAGTGCATCCACCTGTGGCATAGAAGACTGGGGCATCGAAACCCAGAAGCTATAAAGGACTTTGCAAAGAGAGGTCTATCAGAAGACATGAAAATATTGCCTTGCTACACACTCAGCAAGTGCACGTGTTGCATCAAAGCAAAGGCCACCCGAACCCCTCTTCCACACAGACCAGTCAGAGTAAAACCATCAAACCCATGGAACTGATACACAGTGATGTGTGCGGACCAATGGTTTGCTTGAAAGGGTATATACCAGTGTGCAGAGGGTCCTTCAGAATTTCTAGAGTTAATGTGGTTACACCCCTTTAGCACCTGATGGATAAATGCATGCACTAGCTGTATGGATTTGAGCACAGGGATCTCTTGTTTGTTGTATTGTTGGGTCAGTAGCCAGACCTGAACCTTGTAGCTCTCCCCATTGTGTCTTTTCCCCTATGCTAGCATTGTGTCCACAATAGCAATTTCGTTGGCAGGGCAGAGTAGGACTGGCCATAGAGGGATTACTTTGACGCAGTTGGCCAGCTTAAACATGTATTGCAATATGTGTGAACCAAATATCCCTATTTGTTGCATAGTTTGCTTGAAAGGGTATATACCAGTGTGCAGAGGGTCCTTCAGAATTTCTAGAGTTAATGTGGTTACACCCCTTTAGCACCTGATGGATAAATGCATGCACTAGCTGTATGGATTTGAGCACAGGGATCTCTTGTTTGTTTCCAATGAAAACCATCACACCTGGCGGGAACAGATATTTACTGACTTTCATCGATGATTATTCCCGGTACACAATAACGTATCTAATGAAGCACAAAAGTGAGACATTAGAAAAACTTCAAGAGTTTGTAGCTATGACAAGCAACAAGTTTCAAAGGAAACCTGGAATAATACGCACTGACAATGGAGGGGAATATATGAATAAAGAGATGGAATCATACCTAAAGAAACAAGGTATTATACACCAAACAACTGTACCATACACTCCTGAGCAAAACGGTGTAGCGGAAAGAAAGAATCGCACTCTTGTAGAAATGACAAGATGTATGATTACGGACGCTGGCTTACCTAACAAATACTGGGGAGAAGCAATAATGACTGCAACATACCTACAAAACAGGCTCCCATCAAAATCTATTGAGAGTACACCATATGAAATGTGGAATGGATCAAAACCCAACATAGGACATATCAGAGTATTTGGCTGTAAAGCATATGCCCACATTCCAAGTCAGAAACGCTCCAAGTTGGAGAACAAAGCCATAGAAGGCATTCTGGTTGGCTACAGTGAGCAGACTAAGGGATATAGAATCCTTTGTCCAAAGACCAACAAGGTCACAGTAAGCCGCAGTGTTTATTTTGATGAAAGTGAAGCACCAGATAATACAATTCTTGAAAAATGTGGAGAGGATTTACGCGCTGAATCGGCAAGAGACACTGATTTATGCGAAGCAGGACAAGAGCCAGAACAAGAAGTGGAACTTACAATCAACGAGCCAATAGAACCCACTGAACAACAAGAAATCAGAAGATCCCCTCGAATGACAAAAGGGATACCACCCCGCAGGTTATCATACGCTGCTAAAAAACACATCAAACACAGGAGCCTACATCCTGGGAAGACATAGAAACTTTGCCGAGAAGGGAAGCAGATCAGTGGAGAAAAGCAGCTGAAGAAGAAATAAAATCACTTCAAGAAAATAAAACTTGGTCACTAACAGAACTCCCTCCCAGTCGCAAAACCATCGGAAACAAGTGACTGTTGCACTCTCTTCAACTGAAGCGGAATACATAGCAGCAGCACATGCATGTCAAGAAGCCATTTGGATTCGTCAACTTCTACTAGACATGGGACTGAATATGTCACAACCCACACCCATCTTTGAAGACAATCAGGGATGCATAAAGCTTACACACTCTGAGAAGATTAACCCAAGAACCAAGCACATTGATGTAAGATATCATCTGCTCAGAGACATGCAAGAACAAGGGGTTATCGACATCCAGTACTGCCCATCAGAGGAGATGACTGCAGACGCACTCACCAAACCTTTGCCAAGGGAACGTCATTGTTTTCTACAAAAGAGACTAAATGTCATATAATT